ACATGTGTACTTCTGTTTCATGAGAAACTATTTGCTCTGTAAGCCTTCACCTGAAGTACAATTAAAAAAAAAAAAAATTGGGTGACTGCAGACTCTTTCTGGGGCACAAGAGAGGGATGGGATCCAATGGAAGCATGCTGACCACTCCTTATCAGGGGTGACCTGGGCAAGAATGGGCAGGCCACACACAATGTCCCCACTGGCTCACTGCTTCTGGAAATTCCCAGTTACAAATGCATTCCTTCTTGAAAACATTATGCTGAGTGAAATGAGTCAAGCACAAAAGGACAAATAACTGTATGATCCCACTTATATGAAGTATCTAGAAGAGGCAAATCCATAGACAGAAAGTAGATTAGCGGTTACCTGGGGCTGGGAGAGGGGGAAATGGGGAGTTACTGCTTTACTGTGCACTGAGCTTCTGTTTGAGGGGGACGAAAACGTTTGAAAGAGACAGTGGTAATGGTTGCACAAAATGGTGAAAGTAATTGATATCGCTGAATAGTGCGCTTACAAATGGTTACACTGGCAAATTTTCTTGAGATATATATATTTAAATGCATTCCTTGGTTAGAGTTTTTATAAACTCTTTACATGCAAATGCAGTTGCGAAGAAATCCTTGTTCACCCATTTATACTCTCTGCTAGATTTTGGTGAGAGCGAAGAGGGGAGAGGATGAAAGACAAGAGGGAAAGAAAGGATGCCATCCAGACAGAGAAGGGAAGCCAGAGGGACTCAAGATGACAGACTCCGTGGGTGTCACAGGTTGGTGGGCTCACTGCAGTGGAGGTCACTGAGCTGACAGCTACCACAGGCGCAAGGCAGAGCAGAAGCACAGCGTCGGTGGGGAGTGCCGACACAGGGACAAAGGAAGGTAAATGGACACCCTCAATAATGCTGGGTCTCCCGGTGCCTGATCCCGCTACAGCACAGCTGGTCTACCGCCTAAACCTCCTGCTTCCCTTCGGCCCCGTTGGGCAGGTGTCTCAGAGGACACCACCCCTCAACAGAGCCCACAAGGACAGAGGGTCACATGGCTGTGCAGACCAGAGCTGCATGAGCCACCTCTCGTTAAAATGCAGGTTCTGACTCGGTGTGTCCCAGCGGAGCCCGAGACTCTGCATTTCTATTAAGCTCCCAGGGGATGCCCCGCTGCCGCGTTTCAGACCACACTGTCAGTAGTGAGATGCAGAAAATGAGAAGTGAATGAAAAGAGAGCAAGGAGACTGGGCCAGGGCGGTCCCCCCATCCCCAGGGGTAGCTCTTCAAGGGCCGTATGGCACTGAGGAAGGCCACAGGCATCCTGGGGGAAGGGACGGGTATCCAGACGGAGGGAGGGAAGGAGTTGGGATCAGGCTGAAATGGCAGGACGTGTTTTAAAGTCTGGCTCCCCTCCCCAGGAGAGGCCGAGGGTCCCTCACCGTGGATTTCCAGGAGGTTCTTGGTGCCGGCCTTGCGGTGCAGCTCGTCGATGTTCTGGGTGATGACCACCACTCGCCGCCCCTGCTCACACAGCCGGGCCTCACATTCAGCGATGGCGAGGTGTCCGGGGTTCGGGTCCTTGCTGTGCATGATCTCCCGCCGGTAGTGGTAGAACTCCCACACCCGGGACGGGTCTCGGGCAAAGGCCTGAGGAGTAGCCAGGTCCTGGGTGAGAGAGGAGCGGGGTCAGGGAGGGAAACCGAGGCAGCAGGGCGGGGGGGCTGAACTTTGGGAAACACTGGAGGGTCCCTTGTTTTCTAGAAGAGCCACTCTGGGAGGTGGCTGCTTTAGGTCAAGCAGGTGCCAGCAAGCAGGACAGGACCTGGAACCTGTGTCCCAATCCTAGGGCTAAGGTGAGGTCTAGGGAAAAACACTTTTCATTTCCCTAATTACAAGAGAGGGGCAACGCAGCCTGCTCCATTTACCCTCAAGTATGTCATGAACATGACGTGACGTCATGGCGGAAGCTGTTCTGGCTGAAGGTACTTTTCATGGAGCCCTAAAATTATGAATTGAAATCTCATTGGGAGATCTACCTGGGGGGGGCGGGGGAAGTGAAATGCAAAATGCTCAACCGAGGTATGATGGTCAGAGTTAAGAAACTCAGTTTTATTAACTGTGACTATATAACTATATATATAGATGTATATATGCACACATATACCTATATAAAACGAATATGTTACATTAACAGAATCTACAGAACACCCTATCACAGTACAGCTCCTTTCTGGAAGAGAGGTATCTCACCACCTAGGGTGACGCAGAGCAGAGGCGTGGCCGCCAAGGGCCAGGCCGACTGGGAACGGGCGCAAGGGAACCTTTAGCAGTGACAGAAATGTTCTGTCTTGATCGGGCGGTGGTGTTACACAGTACATACTTCTGTCGAAACTCATCAAGCTGTACATTAAATGCGTGCATTTTGTTGTATGTAAATTCTCCCTCAGTAAACACTGACTTTAAAAAGAAGTTTGCCTTCTCTATCAAGTATGAGTTTCCCACGCTGAACTTTTATGTACTTTACCTTACTGAAAAGGGCCCTCTTCTAGCAGGTTGCAATGTCAGCCTCCGTTCTGGGCGTGGATCGTCCACGCTGTGGATTATCCATATCATCCCTTCCTTCCTGCTCTCCCCGTGGAATGCACCTGGCCTGAGGCAGTTACAGGTGGCTCGTGAGCCTGTATATGTGCGTACTTGCGTGCGTGTGCGTACCTGCGTGCGTATGTGCGTACCTGCGTGCATGTGCCCTGGCTTGTGTCCCTGGAACGTGGGTGGAGTCAAGTACATTCCATTGACTTCCATTTGCCTCCCTACAAACTGAGCAGTTTCCGACACTAACGAGCAGCCCTCCTGGAAAGCCCCCCACTCCCCCGCTGCTTCTCCGTCAGCACTGCTCTGCAGGCCCCTCTTGCTCCCTCCTCCTCCCTGAACGCGATGACCCCACGTCTAAGTCCACAGGCCTCACCTGGAGGGCAGTCGAGAGGTGGCAAAACACCCTAAACACTTACTAGCCCGAGACACTTAGTAAAGGAAGGACAGGGACAGTTTCATAAACTCTTAACTCAATAAAAAATTACCTACTAAATTGGAAGTCGTATACTGAAGTAATCATTTATGATTGCTTTCATTCAGCCAACAAAAACCTATTACGTGAGCACCTAGGATGTGTCAGAGACTATTCTGGAAGCTGGGGATAGAGCAGTGAATAAAACAGACAAGAATCTGCCCTCTAAAACTACAGTGGTTTCCCGGGCAGGGGGCTGGGAGGGGACTGACTGCAAAGGGCCACGAGGGAATATTCTGGAGGGATAGAAATAGTCTGTATTATGATTGTGGGGGTCGTTACACACTGTATACATTTGTCATAGTTCACTGAATTGAACACTTAAAATTGGTGAATTATATACGTATTATACATATAACCCGTTCCCATCAAGTCTATTTTGACTCATAGTGACCCTACAGGACGAGTAGAACTGCCCCATAGGGTTTCCAAGACGTGGCTAGTGGATTCGAACTGCCAGCCTTTTGGTTAGCAGCTGAGCTCTTAACCACTGCACCACCAGGGCTCCATTATATATACAGTATATATATAACAGAACATATACTCTCTATATAATTCCTCATTATACATATACACATATATATACCTCAATAAAAATTGAATTTTAAAAAAAAGATCCATAACATCATAGAATTTACATCCTAATATCGTCAGATAAATTTTTGAACATCAAGCCCTAAGCCCTCAACAATTCAACTTTAGTTTTAACATGAAAAGTTGATGGAAGTTTAAAAATGTGTGATACTTAATTTTAACATCTTTAGAAAAAGCAATGAATTACGCTAGCCAAGGCTTTCGGATTCCACTTTAATATAATTACTAAAGGAAATCTAAGTGTTGTCTGAATAAGTGCAATCTGTACAAGTCTAGAAAGTAAGGCAAGTGCCTGCTTTGCTTAACTTTTCTGTCCTAATCGTAGCAGACCTGATCTGTGCTGGCACCAAAATGGGCAGGACAAAGGGGTCAGAGTTAATGTCAAAACTTTCTCCTCCAGGTTTCAGAGACGGATATAGGCTCAGGGTCAAACTCTGTTATGGTGTCATTCAAACGAGCCTTTTAACCTGGAAACATGACTGACCTGAGCTTTCCATTTTCTCCAGTAGCCTCCGGCGCCTCTGAAAGTCGGAACCCCACTTTCAGCACTAACACCAGCCCCTGTCAGGATGGCTATGTGCTTGGCTTTTGCAAAAACCTTCCGAAAATCAGCCATATCTAAACAGAGAATAAACCCTTTATCAATCCAGTATACCATTTCGACATTTACATTCCACGTCAGTTTTCTATATTTTGAAACTTGACCTTGCATGAAATTATACTTTAAGATACCGAAATAAATGCCATTTCTGTACCAAGAGGACGTCATCTGGTGGGGCCTGACACGTGAGCATACAGCATCTTAGAGAAAGCAGCAGGAGCTTCAAGCACACGGAACTGGGTTTGACCCTCAGCCCTCCCACCCATCTGTGTGATCTAAAGCAAATGACTTACCTTTACTGTCTCAGGTTTCCTGGGTTGCTGGATGTGCACAACAGTGCATTCCCTATGCAGAACTGTGACAGGGCCCACCTGCAGACTAAAGGTATCCAACAGGGAGGAATTCAGGGGGAAAAAATCTGATCTGGGAGGATAAGAGTTTATACAGATCTAATCTCCTAAAAGAGTAAGATGTTTAATAAGAAAATGTACCAGAACTTCTCTAAGAGTTACCTGTATAAATGCGGGGCTCAAATCCTATAAACATCCTTAAAGGACTTTCAAGATCTACCATGAACCTTTCCCCTGGAAGTCTTTTCTACCCCGAGTGTAAACTCTGCCCTCCTACTGACAAACGTACTCCTAGGCAGAGTGACTTTTATTACCATACCAGTTTAAGCAACTTCTAGAAACAGAAAAGCCAACCTAGAATTGGTTCTTGGAAAACAGGATGTAAAAGACAGTGATGTGGATGTGGTGTGGAATCTTTTAAAGAGACATTTCTCAACTTCTAAAGGAAAATACACCAGCATATTTTGTGGTCCCCAACACACGGGGCCCATGTCTGGCCGAGGTCAGGCATGCACTGCGTGACCCCTCCAGACTCTAGCAGCCTGTCCTGCACAGCTGGGAACACCGGGGGTTGGGGAATTGAGTGGACCTGGGTTCTTTTCAGCTCTCGGAGAAACAAAAACAAAAAACCCAGTTGCCGTCAAGTCGATTCCATCTCATGGCGAACCCATGTGTGTCACAGTAGAACTGTGCTCCACAGGGTTTTCAGCGGCTGATTTTTTGGGAAATAGACTGCCAGGCCTTTCTTCCAGGGTACCTCTGGGTGGACTCGAACCTCCAACTTTCTGTTAGCAGCCAAGCTACTTAGCCATTTGCATCACCCAGAGATTCAGCTCCTGAGGTTGGGTAAAATGGAAGCGGGGGTGGTTACTAGGCCTGAGCAGACTCACAGTACTAGGAGGTTATCCAAAAGTTGGAAATAAAGCAAAAAGAGTTCTGCATATGCTTTCAATGCCCCAGTGAAGCACTGCTGAACAGGCCCACCTACGGCTCATTTAATTATAGAAATTTATTAGACTCTATGCTCGCTATTGACTAAGGGCTCAGACATGGTAGTCTGTAGATTTTTGTCAGTAAGGATACAAATTATTTCCATCCAGTAGAAAATTTAACCCTATATTGCCCTGTAAGACAATCACCAGCTTTCCTTGCCTGAAGAGAGGTAAGGAGTTTAAAATACAAATCATGTGTGATAAGCTTAAATGCAAATATTCTGGGAGAAGGAGCAAACTGTCTCAAAAGGACTCAACTTGATTATGAAGAGAGAAGATCTGACTCTATCCTAGTAAGGGGCTTACCTAAAAGGAGAAGAGGACAACCTGGCTTTCTCCAAAATCCTGCCCGGCACTCCGGCCACGTGTGGCTGCTGTGCATGGGAAATGTGGCTTGTCAGAATTGAGATGTGCTGTAAATGTGAAAGATACACTGGATCCTGAAGACTTAGTATGACGAAAAAGAATGTAAAATGTCTCATTAATAATTTGTGACGTTGGTTATATGCTGAAATGGTAATATTTTGGATATACAGGTGGTTCCCGACTTATGATGTATTTGAGTTACGACGAGCTGCACTTATGACTGACAATTTTTTTTTTTTTGGTACATCTTTTTGTTACTAATATGCATTACATACAATGTTGCAGTGTGTAATTTGCTGGTGTTATCATTCTCAGATGTTGACTCGCACATGTTCAATTTTACGATTTACGGTTCAAAACACTGGCATACAGCAGGCTATGGCCTGGTCTACGGTGAAGTCAGGGTCAGTGTCGGGGCTTATAACAGACGGAAAGCTGGGCGATGTTCAACTCTAACAACATACCACAATTGAACTACACAGGAGCCTGACAGTCGTTATGACTCCAACTTCATTGTAGACCAGGCCTATGCCGTGATCTTATTCAGCATTTCATACTGTAAGAAGCATCAGTTGTTAATTTGAAATGAAGTATTCAACTTACATCAGGACCAATTCACAAGGGAGTTGTCAGAATGGAACCCTGTCATTAAGTTGGGGATAACTATATCGGATTAAATAAAATGTACTATGAAAATTAAAAAAAAAAAAAAAAAAACTTGCCCACCACCTACTTCAGTACAGGCCTTCTCCTCAGTGTGAGAACTTTCAGATACTTCATTCTGCTAGAGAAAAGAAGATGGCAGACTAGGAACAACTCACTTGAACTTGGACGGGCCATGGTTGGATGAATCTTGGTTTGTGCAGAGGCTGCAGACTTCAGTCCGCAATATGGCTGGGAAATCAGTCGTCTGGAAATAATCTGGACAGGTCTCATCAGGTTCTTTTTCTTGTACTAACTCTTGAAATGGACTTTTTAAAAAACTACAAACACAAATAGACACAATCAGAAAATATTTGTATTTCTACAAGTATTTTAAAATGTAAGAATGTCCTTAAAAAGATCTGGAGTAAGCACAACACACATCCAAACTCCCTGAGGGACTGAACTGCTGGGCGGAGGGCTGTGGGGACCATGGTCTTGGGGAACATGTAGCTCAACTGGCATAACACAGTTTATAAAGACAATGTTCTACATTCTACCTTGGTGAGTAGCGTCTGGGGTCTTAAAAGCCTGTGAGCGGCCATTTAAGATACTCCACTGGTCTCACCCCTTCGGGAGCAAGGGAGAGTGAAGAGAACAAGATACAATGGAAAGATTAGTCCAAAGGACTAATGGACCACAGCTACCAAGGCCTCCACCAGACTGAGTCCAGTACAGCTAGATGGTGCCTGGCTACCACCACTGACTGCTCTGACCGGGATCACAACAGAGGGTTCTGGACAGAGCTGGAGAAGGATGTAGAACAAAATTCTAACATACAAAAAAAGACCAGATTTACTGGCCTGACAGAGACTGGAGAAACCCCGAGAGTATGGCCCCCAGACACCCTTTTAGCTCAGTGGTGAAGTCACTTCTGAGGTTCACCATTCAGCCCGGGATTGGACAGCCCCATAAAACAAAACGGGACTAATGAGGCACAGCAGTCCAGGGACAAGGACTGGAAGGCAGAAGGGGACAGGAAAGCTGGTGATAGGGAACCCAAAGTTTAGTAAGGACAGTGTTGACATGTAGTGGGGTTGTTAACCATTGTCATAGGGCAATATGTGTACTAACTGTTTAATGAGAAACTATTTTGTTCTGTAAACCTTCGTCTAAAGTGAGAATAGCAGCACAACTGAAAGAACGTAATCGACGTAATTGAATTGTACATGTAGAAATTTTTCAAACGGTGTATCTTTGGCTATGTATATTTTCACCAAAAAAAAAAAAACAGGTCCTCCAAGGCCGAGAAGGGAGCATGTTGACATGTCGTGGGGTTGTTAACCAATGTCATAAACAATATGTGTACTGACTGTTTAATGAGAAAATATTTTTTCTGTAAACCTTCACCTAAAGTACAATAAAAAAAAAAAAAAATCTGGAGTAACATATCCTCAAGCTGTCCTCCAAACCAGCTGTTTTCAGTTTGTGTTCTCAAGTGCCCCTAGGATGTGCAGAGGTGCCCTAAAGCAGTGGCTCCCTCAGTGGGGTTCCCAGGCCAGAAGCATCAGCATCAACTGAGAGCTTATTCTGGTTGTTATTGGCCAACCATCTAGTTGGCCCCAGACTTATGGCGACCCTACACACAATGGAACAAACTGCCACCACATCCCTGCGTCATCCCCATGATCGGCTTCAGATAGGACCATTGTGATCCACAGGGTTTTTGCTGTCTGATTTTCGGAAGTAGGTCACCAGGCCTTTCTTCCTAGTCCTTCTTAGTCTGGAAGCTCCCCTGAAACCTGTTCAGCATCATAGCAACAAGCAAGCCTCCACTGACAAATGGGTGGTGGCTGCACCTGAGCTTGAGGTACATGGGTGGGAACCTGAACAGAGTCTTCTCCATGGAAAGTGAGAAGAAATGCAAATTCATGGGCTCCACCCCAGATCTACTGAAAGGAAGTCTGGGGGCGCACCCCAGCAATCTGTGTGTTATCAGGCTCTCAAGGTGATTCTGAAGAAGCTTTCTCTAACCTGGTAGAGAACTCCAGAATATATTGCTGAGGGAAAAGAACAAGGTACAGACAGTGTGTACGTAAGGCTTCCTTTGTCAGAAACAGGGGAGGAGATGTAAGAATACACCTTAGCACTTTGTCAGGCAGAGATACAAATGATTTCTTCCCAGTAGGAAATTTAACGCTATATGACCAGACGGCCCCCCTCCTGGCTCTATGAGTGACTGCTGTCTCTGGACCAATCCCAGCCTGAGGCTAGCCTCGTTCCTTCCTCCTTTTAGATAAGGTTCAGTAGCATAGCCAATCACAAAATTATCCTGTTTCCTGACAGCAGACAGTCCAGAACAAAACCCTCCTTCCATGAACTCTCCCCCAAATCACCTAACACAAGCCCAAATCCCTTAGTAAGCCCTTTCCAGCACTCTCTTACCAGACACCCTGAAGTTCTTCAAGCTGTGCACTGTCTTGCGTTGGAATTGCTCAACTCGAGGTGTGTGTCTGGTCTTTGGCTGAAGGGCACTGACAATCCAGACCACACATAAACCTTTATACTGAAAATCCTTGCATCCTATTTTCCCCCCTCCTCCCCCCGGGGAATTCTTTTTACTAATTTCTTATGAATTCTTCCATTGACTTTTTCTTTCTTTTTTAACAAAAATGTTTGTTCTGGACTGGCTGCTGTCAGGAAAGAGGATAATTTTGTGATGGGCTATCTTAATGAACATTTACCTAAAAGGAGGAAGGAACGAGGCAAGGCTCCAGCTGTGACTGGTCAAGAAGCAGCAGTCACTCGGAGCCAGGATAGGAGAAGTCCGCTCACTTGGGGGATTAGATGATGCTCTCGCTTTTGTCTGTGTTCAGACATGACTACTGAGTGGCCTTGGTCTTGGTGCACTATGGGACAGAGTGGCCTTGTCTGAGGTCAGTGTTCTGTGACATTGTTCATGTCCAGCAGGGGCACACCAAGGCCTAGCTGTGAAGGCCAGGCCGGCTCCCGGCAACACCAAGGCCTAGCTGCGGGCGCCAGGCCGGCTCCCGGCAACACCGAGGCCTAGCTGTGAAGGCCAGGCTGGCTCCCGGCAACATCGAGGCCTAGCTGCGGGGGCCAGGCCGGCTCCCGGCAACACCAAGGCCGAGCAGACAGTGAGTGTCAGGTCAGCTGAGGGCTGTCAGGGCTACTCTTCTCTTTCTCAGGATGTGTTATCTATATTAAAAATTAAATGTTAAAAAAATCGATTTTTGGTATTCTCCAAGAGAGGAAGGACAAGTGGGGAGGCCTTCACTCTGCACCCAACGGCTGCTGTTAGAAACCTTGACATCAAAGAAAAATGCCACAGACACCCCTTTGGAAAACTCGACATATATATTCACTATAGCAAACCAAGGTCATCAGTCTAGAGACGGCTTATAACAACCAAATAAAGAAAGATGCTAATGTCAATTCTTTTCAGAAATTCTTCCATTTCCACAGATTACCTCAGAAATCAATTCTCTTTTAGTTCAGAGGTACCCCCCTGTCCCAGGGGTGGCATCATGAAACACAGGTTCCCTAAATCATCTGCACCATCATGATCGCATGATTTCATCTTTGTATGTCACAATTAATTTGCTAAAAATAAAACAAAGCAACGAAAACAAAATGTGCTGCATGAATTAAAGTGAGAGGGTTGGACCAGAGAGAGGGCTGTGGCTGTGAGAACAAAGAAGGGATGCCAAAGAAGAGCATTTCAATTAGAGAAGGCCGACAGCAACAAAGGGTTGAAAAACTTTTGAACCTTGTTTTGAACAATGGATTCTCAGATGACACCAAAAGCACAAAAAAACAAAAGAAAAAATAGATAAATTGGACTTCATCAAAATTAGAAACTTTTGTGCATTAAAGGACTTTATCCATAAAGTGAAGAGACAACCTACAAACTGGGAGAAAATTCCTGGGAACCAATGTCAGACATATCCAGAATATATAAAGGACTCCTACAACTTAACAACAAAACCACAAACAGCCTAAACAAAAAAAGGTCAAAGGCTTTTAGTAAACTGAAAAGTGTGCAACCATTACAACCATCTAATTTTTTAACACCTTCATTACCCCCAAAAGAAAGTCCATACCCATCAGCAATCACTTCCCATTCTCCCCTGCCCACAGTTGCTGGCAAATACCAATCTACTTTCTGTCTCTATGGATTTGCCTGTTCTCGACATTTCATACAAATGAAATCATACCATATGTGAACTTACGTGTCTGGCTTTTCTCCCTCTGCAGGATGTTTTCAAGGTTCATCCACGCTGTTACATGTACTGGTACTTTAGTCCTTTTTATTATCAAATAATTGTATGAATAAACTACATTTTGTTATCTATTTTAAAAAAATGGTCAAAGGACTTGAATAGACATTTCTCCAAAGAAGATACACAAGCGGCCAACAAGCAATGAAAAGATGCTCAACATCCTTAGTCATCAGGGAAATGCAAATCCAAACCACAGTGAGATCCACTTCACCCCCACTAGGATGGCTATGATCAGGAAAACTGAAACCAAGTGTTGAGGAGGATGTGGAAAAATGGGAAGACTCACTGTTATGGACTGAATTGTGTCCTTCCAAAATCTGTGTTGGAATCCTAACCCCTCTACCTGGGGAAGTAATCCTGTGTGGGAATAGCGTTTTCTTTGTTATGTTAATGAAGCCATATCAGTGCGGGGTGTGTGCTAAACCTACTCACTTCCGAGCTACAGAAAGAGCAGATTAGACACAGAAGAAAGCACAAACAGGGAAGATGCCACGTGATCACCACGGAACCGAGGCGTGCTGGAGCTACAGAAGCTGAAAAAGATGAGAATTTTCCCCCAGAGTCAGACAGAGAAAGAGCCTTCCCGTAGAGTCGGTGCCCTGAATTCAGACTTCTAGCCTCCAAGGCTGCAATCTTTATGGAAGTAGACTGCGACATCCTTCCCCCGAAGAGCGGCTAGTGGGTCTGAACCACCGACCTTTCAATTAGCAACTGAGCACTTAACCACCGTGCTGCCAGCGCTCCTTTCCTGAACTGTGAGAAAATAAATTTCTCTTCTTTAAAGCCACACCTACCTGCGGTATTTCTGTTACAGCAGCACTAGGAAACTAAGACCCTCATCCATTGCTGGCGGGACTGTAAAATGGTGCAGCGGCTGTGGAGAACAGTTTGGAAGTTCCTCAGAAAACTTAAACATAGAATTACCATATGACCCAGAATTGCACTCCTAGGTATGTACCCAAACGAACTGAAAGGAGGTACTCAAACAGGTACTTGTATATTAACATTCACTGCAGCATTATTCACAATAGCCAAAAGGTGGAAACAACCCACATGCCTACCAACAGATGAATGGATACATAAAATGTGGTGTATACATACAATGGAATATTACTCAGCCATAGAGAGAAATGAAGTTCTAATGCATGCTACAACATGGACAAATGTTGAAAACATTATGCTGAGTGAAGTAAGTCAGACACAAAAGGACAAATAGTGTATGAACTCACTTATATGAAATATCTAGAACAGGCAAACGTATAACGTCTTAGTTATCTAGTGCTGCTATAACTGAAACACAAGTAGATGGCTTTAACGAGCAGAAATGTATTCTCTCATAGTTTAGGAAGCTACAAGTCTGAAATTAGGGCGCTAGCTCCAGGGGAAGGCTTTCTCTCTCTGTCAGTTCTGGGGGAAGGTCCTCGTCATCAATCTTCCCCTGGTCTAGCAGCTTCTCAGCACAGGGACCCTGGGTTCGAAGGGAACGTTTCCCTCCCAGCACTTCTTTCTTGGTGGTAATGAGGTCCCCCTCCTCTCTGCTCGCTTTTCTCTTTTATATCTCAAAAGAGATTGACTCCAAATACAACCTAATCCTGTAGATTGTGTCCTGCCTCATTAACATCATAGAGGATTTACAATGCATAGGAAAATCACATCAGATCACAAAACGGAGGACAACTACCCAATACTGGGAATCATGGCCTAGCCAAGAAGACACAGATTTTGGGGGGACACAGTTCAATCCGTAATACATAGAGACCAAAGTTTATTACTGGTTGCTAGAGGCAGGTGAGAGGGGAAAAAGGGGAAGCTATTGCTTAAGGGGCACTGAGTTTCTGCTAAGGATGATAAAGGATGTAGAAATGAATAGCGGTGACGGTTGCACATGGTGAACGTAATTGATGACACTGAATTGTATATATGTAAAAGTGGTTGAAATGGCAAATGTTTTTCTATATATATTTTACCACAATTTTTAAAAAATCTTTCAATGTTAACTATTAAGGAAATGAAAAGATAAGCCACAGACTGGGAGAAAATATTTGCAAAATACATATCTGACAATATTCCAGGATACAGGAAGAACTCTCACAACTCACTAATTAGAAAACAAACAACCCAATTTTTAAAAATGGGCGAAAGATTTGAAGGAACATTTCTGCAAAGAAGGGATAGAGATGGCAAAGCAGCACATGAAAAGATGCTCAACATCATCAATCATTAGGGAAATGCAAATTAAAACCACAATGAGATGCTACTACACAACCATTAAAATGACTCAGAACAAACAAACAAACTGACAACAGCAAGTGTTGCCAACGACGTGGAGAAACTGGAACTCTTACACACCGCCGGTGGAAATGCAAACTAGTACAGCCACTTCAGAAAGCAGTCTGGTAGTTTTTTATAAAGATAAATATATACCTATCATACAACCCAGCAAACCCCACTCGTAGGTATCTGCCCAAGAGAAATGAAAAAATATGTCTACATAAAGGCCTGTACATGAATGTGTATAGCAGCGTCACTCATTCTCACCAAAATCTAGAAGCAAACCAAATGCCCACCAATACAAGAATGGATAAACATATTGCAGGTCATCCATACAATGAAATACTACAGCAATAAAAAGAACAAACTACTAAAAACATGCGATAACATGGATGAATCTCCCAAGTATTACGCAAGAGCAACGGTACAGTGGGGACAGCTGGCAGACACTATCTTAACTGATCAAAGTTAATGTGACCAGTAATAAGATGTATGGACATCCTGTACCTCCAGATACGATGCACTGAGAAGGGCACAGCATCACGTGTGTGGTATTTACACCCCACCCCCAATATATATCTCAATCTAAGTATGAGAAAACATCAGACAAACCCAAATCGCGGGACATTATACAACGCAAGTGACCAATACTCTTCAAAAAATAGTATCTTTCATAATCTTTCAAGGTTGTGAAAGATAAAGACTGGGGAACTGTCCCGGGCAGGAGACCAAGGATACAGGACAACTAAATGCAATGTGGGATACTGGATTGGAATCAAGACCTGAAAAAGGGTATTAGCGGGACAACTGGAAAAATGTGAATGAAGTCTGTAAATTAGTTACTAGTACTGTGTCACTGTGGACCACAGCAGTCTAGTAGGGTAAGATGTCAACACTAGGGGAAATTGGGTAAATGGTATACAGGAACTCTGAGTACTATTTTTGCAACTTTTTTGTAAGCCTAGAATTAGTTCAAAGTAAAAGTTTAAGAAAAACATTCTGTTAAGAAGCCACATAAAAGGCTATATACTGTTTGAAACCATTTATATGATATTTTGATAGGTACAGAATTCACATCAGGGGTTTCCAGGGACTGAGCGGAGGGCGGGGGGAGGGAATTTTTAAAGGGATAGAAAAATTCTGTCTCTTGTGGAGGTTTTTCAAAACTTATGGAACTATATAATAAAAACGGTGAATTTTATAGTATGTCCCTGGGTGGTGCAAGCAGTTAGCATGCTCAGCTGCTAACAGAAAGGTTAGCAGTTCAAGTTTACCCAGAGGTTCAAACCCAGAGGTGCCTCGAAAGAAAGCCCTAGCAGAATGCCAAAAAACCAGCCCCTGGAAACTCTGTGGTGCACAGTTCTACTTGACACGTGAGGTCACCGTGAGTCTGAGTGGACTTGAGGACAACTGGTTTGGTTTTCTTCAATTCTATTTCAATAAACCTGACTTAAAAACAACAAGCATGCTGACAAACTTTCAAGGTAACCTGTCCCTTCTGAAATCAAAAGGCATGGAGATGCAGCCTAGAATACTGAAATAGAGGGTTAGAGAAAAATGGGGTAGCGTGTCTCCAGAACCACCTCAGGGGACAACACCCCCTAGCTGCCTGGAGTCACTTCCGAAAGGAAGAAATACAGGTCAGAAGCCAACCTCGAGCTAAAGGGACCTAGAGACAGGCAAGCAAGAGCCAGAACAGATCTGGCTGGCTGGCCGCCAGAGAGAGGAGGTGGGTCAACTCAGATGTCCCAGGAGGGCCATGGAAGCTGCTGAGCAGCCTGCAGACTTTGCATCATGGGGACATCAGACCATGCTGAAAATCATGTGCTCCATTGCAAGAAAGCAGGGGGAAAGGGCTTGGCATGATTTCCAACCAGCATGGACATGGTACTTCTTAAGCTTTTGACAATTAAACGTCAAATTTCTTTTGGGACAAATTAATTATATGGACTACCTTAGAACCAAACTCGTTGCCATCAATTCTGACTTGTGACAACCCCATGGGTTAAGAGTAGAACTGCTCCCTAGGGTTTTCCTGGCTGTAATCTTTACCAAAGCAGATTGCCAGGCCTTCCTTCCATGGCACCACTGGGTGGATCTGATCCACTAATCTTTAGGTTAGTCAAGTGCAACTGTTTGCATCACCCAGGACCCTTATGGAATACCTTAGAGACCAAACTCACTGCCATCGATTCTGACTCATAATGACCCCATAGGACAGAGTAGAACTGCCTCATAGGGTTTCCAAGGAGCAGCTGGTGGAATTCGAACTGCCAATCTTTTGGTAAGCAGCCGAGCTCTTAACCACTGTGCCACCAGGGCTCCATGGAATACCTCAGTAAGGGACAGATGAGGTGTTACTATAATTTGTATTTTTTTAATTACAGGAAAATTTAAATGTATACAAAAAATAGAACAGTATAGTAAACCCCGATGTTCCCCTCACCCAGCTTTTACAATTCTCAAGGGGGTTTTCTCATATCCATTTGAGGCTTAAAAACATTGTCATGGCAGATTTTTTTAAAACTTCTACATCTTGATGAAAAATTGTGAAGACTGAAGTTCCCACTATTGCCTAACCTTACTAAAAACTTTTCACATGTTGTAGGAAGTGAGTTGCACTATTGTTTTGAGCTTAGCATCTTGAGGTATTTCTCCCAAAGATGAATATGCTTGTTTGCACTGCTGCTTTATAAAATTTAAACTTGGGGGCATTAATTTGATCCAGACTTTCAATTTGATCCAGAAAATCCTTTTCTTCTTCTGTAGGTTTTAAATATGTGGAAACATTTCCCCCTACTATAAAAGAATTCTAGTTAACTTCTAAATAAACTGTCATATTTCTTTCTCAAACAGGAAGGTAGGCTCTTATAAGACATAATGAATTTAAAATCCAATCAACAGAGGCACTGACGTCAAGCCTCTGCTGCCTGGCTGTGAAATGAAGGCAAATCTTCACTCTACTCTGGACTTGAGTGTTGAATTCGTTGCTAATTATAGAGAAATTCATGGGAAATATGAGAATTCTAAGGAATTTTTAAATTAGAACTTGTATTATTTGGGTAAAACGTTACTAATTTTTCATCTGGGTTTTCTAGTCAAATGTTTTAATTGTTGAGTAATAATAATAAACTCAAAATAATAAAATAGAAAAAAAAGTTTTACTTGTTCATATTTCAACATTTCCAAAAATCACTAGCTTTTAAATTCTTTGCCTAGGAAATGCAATCAGCAAGACCTTGGGGAGAAGATAGTTTTGGATCTCATCATCTGAACTGTAATTTCTAATCACATACCTACGATGCACACATACAC